CTCGAGAGCCCGCGCTCGCTTGCTCGTTCGCTCGCTGGCTCTCCAGCCTCAGCCGCTGCCCCGCGCCAAGAAATCCAGCTGCCGCCTTTGCTTGCGCCCGAAGCCGCCCCGCCGTTGCCCAGGCTGTGCGGTGCGGGGCCTCCCGGGTTTTAGCGCGACCGCTGCGGAGGCGGAAGGCGCAGAGCCGGCCAGCGTCGGTCCGCTCGCGGCCGCCTCTGCCACGCAGTAGTAACCCCCGACTGAAGGATGGGTCCTTTCCCCTCGATTTCTGACCAGCCAGGAGGAGGGCAGAGGGATGCCGGCGGATAAGGGGTGGGTGTGGGTGGGAGGAAGAAAAGGGGTGTGTGGGGGGTGCTCCTGCAAGTATGTGCTGTGATAGAGGATGAGGATGGTGGTGAGTGGGACCGAGAGAAAGCTGGAAGCGTTCCTTTCCTGTTACTGATCGCGGTGTTTGCCCCCTGCCCCTCCCAACTCCCCCTTCTCCTTCCCTGCCGCCCCCCCTCAGCTGCGAGGATCAAACAATATCAAGGAGACTTTCTTCACTTGTCTCCCCTTGACAGGGCTGATCAGTTAACTCAGGAACATTTAGAAGGTTGGTATCATTGTGGAAGAAAATCCTTCACTTCCTAGGTTGATCAGTAAGTTTTCTTTTGAAGCATCCCCCCTTTCTCTAATTAATTCTGCCTATTTGCTTTGTTTGGCGGATGTTAATAATTACTAATAACAGGAAAGGGTTCTGATTTTTTTTTGGCGGGTAACATTATGGTAGAATTGCCGATAAAGTGTATCTTTACATTTTTATTTTTTAACTTTTGTTGACTGCTTTTTCAGGTTCTGGCACTGAATCATATTCTCTAAATTGGAGAAGCATTATGTTTATGAATTCTTGACATTATAAACAAGAATTGGAGGGTTACTCTAGATATGTGTAACTGATCTGAGTATAATGAATGATATATATTTTTTAAGTATTCCTTCACAAAACAGTGAAAGAACAGAAAAATAGGGCTTAGTTGTGCCCCTTCAAATATATTTCATTACTGACATAGACCATAGAAATGTAAGATTGCCATTCTGCTTGTGTGCTGCCTTTGGGAAACAATGTACAGATGGATTTATAATTCTATATCTAATTTTAACAGTATTCTGTGCCAAGGTATGTATTCTTTTTTTGCTTATACATACAGTATTCACAGGTAATTTTTACAGATGTCTGTTCTTATATGTAATTGTCACAAACTTACTGGGCACTGGTTAACACAACTTTTTGTCATTTTCAGACATGTTTTGCAACTTTTAACTGGCTCTATCTATATTACATTTGCCAGTGGATATAGGATCTGTTGTCTTAGAATTGGCTGCTTTAGTTGCGGAAATTTTATTGAAGCATTATTCCTCCAGGCATGTAGCACAATGATCTTACCCAAGTTGTCAGTTATATATGAGAGATCTTATCCCTGTTTCCAGCGATATATTTGAGATACAAACTGCAAGTTATCAAAGCGGGGGGAGGGGAAGGATATAGTAATAAGTATATCTAATTTTGTATTTAGCAAGTTGAGTGCAAATGGGATTAGTATATTCATGTTTAAGGTGCTGCTTTATTTACATAGAGTCATTATCATGCTGAAGTTTTTTTTAAAAAAATATATATCCAGTTTCATGTCTGCACTAAAAGATGTATAAAATCCTAAAAATTATCCAATTAGGCTAGAAAACATATTTGGGAAAAATAAAGAGTCCCAAGCAAAATACTGTAAATTTGGGTGTCTTGCAACGTTCAGCATGATCCTTTCATAAGTAATTTACTGCAATTCAATTTCTTTGAACTACAAGGATGTTACAGTATGAATTCATGGAACAGTTACATTGAGAGACAAAAACATTTTTTCCTTTGAAATATGAACTGACTTGAAATGAAACATGGAGCCAGTGAATAAAACATGGGAAATATTAATATTTGAAATGCATCATATTTAAAATTAATTTGAACTTCACCCCCCATGCTTTTCTTATCTGTAAGTACCTATCTTTGCATCCTAAGAATTTAATTCAGTCATCCGCTATAGTATAAAATCAGTCTGGAATCATATCTTGACATCATGGTCTTAGCATTTTGATTTAGAAGCCGTTCCCTTTGAGGTAAATGAAAGCTGTTTCCAAGTTGTGGGTTAGCCTTACCGTCTTTCTTGTTTCCTTTTTCCTTTCCTTTTAAATTTCAAATTTCAAATGACTGAGGAATAAGTTCAGTTGTAGAAACAATAAAACAATAAAAACACTGGTCACAATTCAGCACAAATGTACTTAAGTACTCGTGGTAACTTATCTGTCCTGGATAGTGATTCTGGATTTATTTTACACTTCACTAGGAAAAGAAAAAGAATTCAGAGCAATTGTTTACCAATATAACATGAACTGACAAACACATTCCATTCTTATACTACTATTACATTAAAATATTGTCTAATATATTGTAGATATAGAAAGAAAGTGTATTAATATATGCATTTATAACTTAATATCCAGCAGGTCCTCTCTGTAAATGTAATGTATCATATAGCACACAATGCATTACTGTATAAGTGCAAACCAGTTACTGAAACTAATTGGCAGAAAGTGTCCTGCATAATATAGTAAATTGCCTTTATGTTACTATCGTGTGTTGCTACAATCACAAAGAAATGGAACAGTGAAAAAGGTGGTCATTTTATTTGGTTTGATGTATTTCATAATAAAATAAGAACCTGGGGGGTGGGGAGACTGAGTTTAAAATAGTTTACTTGCCTGTCATGAGTTTAATATTATTACTAGTAGTAAATTGATCCCTGCAAAACTGCTGGCAACATTGCATTAAAAATAAATTCACCACAGCAATGACACAATGGCAGCCAGAATTTTGCCACTGATTTCAATGGGATAGAAATGAGGCCCTAGTTGTTGCTTAAATGCAATGCCTGTTTATTTCAGTAATTCCTGATTTTTTTTGATCCTGTGGAATTTAATATTTAAACTCAATTATATAGGTATGTATGTATACATTATTCAGGGGAGATCAGGATCCTTCCTCTGGCTTTGCTACCTCTGAGTGAAAAGAAAACTTTCGATTCCACTCAGCGCTGTAGCCAAAATAAAGTCTGTTGCTAAGGCCTTATCTTTATAACGCATGTCTATAAGAATCGTGCCTGATGATATGGCTCTCATCAGCCCTAAATGATATACCTGAAAATAGACATCCTACATTTTGATTATATGTATTTTTGAATAACTGCCCTTAAAACGTCTCTTAAAAACCATGGCTTTTTAAAATCAGTTATTGTATTTAGGCTGTTTTAGAACGTATGTTGTTAAGTTCACTTGAGGTTTTACAAGAGTGAAACTGGGGTGCCATGCTTACAGGAGTTATGTAATGATGTTTAGTAAACAAGTAGAAAACAAATAAGGGGAACATGACAAAAATCTATATAGTAGAAAAAGCGGCTTTATATGCAAAAATAGTAAAGCAGTGTTAAAACTGTGTTAAGAAACACTTCTGTAAAAACATTTTAGGTACATATAAATATAATACTAAACTGATGATATTTTATATTCTTTATTACTAACACAAACAACTTGATCCACAGCATAGTTTTTCAGAGTATAATTGGGTTTAAACTAATTTAATCCTATTGATTTAATGAGATTTGTTTTGGCTTAACTGGATTGATGACTGTCATATTAATTTTTCCATATATTATTATTAAGCAACCTTGCATGCTTTTGTTTACTAAGGCAGATTCATTTGCTTAAATTTTTTAAATGATTAAGAACTTGTAAATCTACACATGCATGATGTAAACTCCCTTTGTACCATTTAAATGCTTATTGATTCCATTGAAAAGTGTTCATAAAAACTTTCCAAAATGTCTGGCATAATATCTTGCTAAGATTTGGAATTAAAATGATAGACTGCAAGACAGTAGAAACAAACTGTCTGCAATATCATATCCATATTTAAATATATATGTCAATATGTATATTAATATTTGTATAAGTGTACACACACAATTTCATTTATAAAGCAGAATATCTCTGTGTTGAATTATTTTTCTTTATTATTTGCCTATATATATAATATTTTAATTGTTCAATAATTTTAAAAAAGAATAATTTCTGTCTAATCAGTTATTGATAAAATATAATTTATAACATTCAACATCTAGAAAAATATAAATTCATTTAAATCACTTCATACATTAGGTGAAATAAACTATAAGAATTTTTCCACTTGAGTGCTAGAACTAGTTTTGCACTCATCTGCAGATAGTATTAATTGACAAAAGTATCGTATAAATTAAAGCATTGGAAAGATACAATTTCAAAAGGAGGCATATTACTGTCTGACACTTAAAAATTAATGTTGAATTCATTTCCATCTACAGAAATTGAAATACTACAATAAGGAAATAAATGTGTTTTTATGTGTGTTAAGTGTGTTAGTTTCTTTTCTAAAACATAGGTACAGAGACACACAAAGATCTAGCTGCATTCATTTCAAGGCACTGACTTTAAGCTGCAGTGTTTTAAAGTTTGCCTTTCTCTATAGGACAGCTGAAATCTGGGGAGAGAGAGCATTCCACAATTCCATAGTAGTAAATTAGAAAGAATATGGCAATCAGTGTGATTGCTGTTTCATGCTGCTTGTGGGTTTCCCATAGACAACTGGTTGGCCATTGTGGGAATAGAATGATGGACTAGATAGGCTATTGGTCTGATCTAGCATGGATTTCCACATATAGAGTCCCAACTCTATGGAGTTCTTTCCTTGGGGAGATTCCAGAGCTTGACACTATTAGTGTTTAGACTTTTTATTTGAAAAGGTATCCAGTTTTTTTATTTTACTATCATTAGCTTGTTTTGGATTTGAATGTGTGTGTGTGTATGTGTGTGTTCTTGAGCTGCCATCTTTTTGCACTTGGGTAGCCAGCTTGGGCATTAAGTATAGATAGGTCAGATGGCTCATGCACCCCCTGCATACATGCTACAGAGATTGTATATTTCATCCTTTCCAATGACCAGAATATGTTGTCATTTCACAATTAAAATGTAGCAGAAACATCACAAAGCTTGATGGGTTGCTTTTTCCAACAAATGCAGTTCAAAAAGTCTAGAAAATGGCAGGCCAATCTTATTTCTATGGACTTTTGAAATCTAATTTTATAGAGCTGTGTTCACAGTCTAGAGCCATAAAGAACTGTAAAAAAATTCTATCTTGGCTATTGGAAGCATGTCTTAGATAAGATATGAATTTATGCAGGAGAAAGTCACACTGAACACAGTATGACTTACTTGTGAGTTGATATGCAGGGGGCCAGATTGTGAGCCTGGACAACATTAAGCAAGTTCCACTGATTTTCATAGTAATCTTATCTGGATAAATGTAGAGTTCTGCTAATTTGGTGAGAGTAATATTAGGAAAAAAATCAAATAAAAATATATTATGTTCATTCCATTTGACCTATATAAATATTTGACCTTATGCACTAAATCAGATTTTAGTCCCAACTAGTATAGGGTTTATTTTGTTTTTGTGGTGTTAGTAATAAGGATACAACTACATACATGCAGAATTGCTTAATTTGGTTACTTAATTTCATTTTCAGAGAAAATAATTACATTTCCCCCCATTTGTAACAAATATACAGCTGCATACAGAATATACTGTAACTCTGTTTTCAGAAGTAATTATTGGAAGTTCCCTTAAAAGTTGCCTTTTTACCATGGATACAGTGGACCCTTGACTTACAGACGGCTTGACTTACAGACTTTTTGACTTGAGAACCGCCTTCCAATACGGATTAAGTTCTCAAGTCAAGACCCCACTGTATTACATAAATGTACTAATAAATCAAGTGTCACAATTTTCATTTTATACTTTATTCAGCTTTCATTCTAGCAATTTTGACAAGAAAAAAAAAGCAAAGTTTATGACTTTCCGATACAAAGTCTTATTTATTTGAGATGCAATCTTAATTCCATTTACTTGGGACTCTGCTGCATTGATCCCAATGGGAGTTACTTTTAAGTAGACACATATTGGCTTGCTCTGCTAGGTTGTAAGCATATAGACAAGTTATGATGTTTAAATCCATTCAGTGGGATTTAACCAACCTTACATTTTGTGGGACTGCAGCTTTAGTAGTTTTTCAATTTTAGTTAGCAGTTTTGACTTCTTTGAACATATAGACATGTCTGGGTATGTGTGCATGTTTAGGGGGAGTTGAAAGACAGGAATATGAAAAAGAAGTTACAAAAATTCTTAACCACTATGCATTTCGGTATTGGTGTTATGACATTTTATTTGGTTGGCTAGTTCTCTCTCTCTCTCTCTCTCTCTCTCTCTCTCTCTCTGTGTGTGTGTGTGTGTGTGTGTGTGTGTGTGTACACAACACACATGCACATATGCATGGTAAAACTATTTTTTTTGTCATAAAAATGAGAACGTAATAAAGAAGCATTGATTTCATCTGAGTCTTATGCTACGTTGATTCTGAGCTATACAGTCTAGGTCTCTATGAAATACTGCAAAATTTCAGTTATATTTCATACAAAACCAAGCAGAATGTGTCTCATTAGTTGCTCATTATTGCTGGCATGCCTGGAAAACTGTGCTTCCATGGAAATACGGAGATCAGAATCTTTCCCAGTGGGATTTGTGACTTTTCCCCTTTGAAGAGCAGAACACCACACCATATGCCATAGATAGTAGGTCTGCAGGGGATTTTAGCCACTACACTTAAATGAACCTCTATTTACAGAAGCATTATTGTGGGCTGAATCCAGTTGTTAGTCTGGACTGCAGTAGACCTACTGAATCAATGGAACTAACCTATGTGTTGACTTAACAAGACCCATTCATTCAGTGTGTCTTCTCTAGTTGTAGCTGACAATTAGATCTGAGTGCTGTGTACAGACAACATTGAGAGGACTTGCTACCCTCAAGTTTTGCCTCCTAGAAAGATCTGGTTGGTTACTAAAATAAATTGTGTGTGTCCAGTCACTGGTTGGTTACTATAGTAAACTGTATGTGTCCCTATCTCTATGTCTCTCTCTGTCTCTGTATCTCTGTCTCTCTCCTCTGTCTCTCTCTCTCTCTGTATCTCTGTCTCTCTCTCTCTCTCTCTCTCTCTCTCTCTCTCTCTCTCTGTGTCCAATTACTGGTTGGCTATGATAGTAAACTCTGTGTGTGTGTGTGTCCAGTTAGTGCCTACACCTGCTTATCCAATATATATGGATTTTTTGTCACTATGTTAAACAGTGTGTGTGTGTCCAGTCACTGCTTACCCCTTCTTATCCAGTATATATGGATTTTTCTTCTTCACTTTTTCAAGTTTTTGTGTTTTAGTAATACTATGCCAGAAATCTTGTAGCATTGTGGAAGTACTTACATGGTTATTGTGGTAAATGGGTGGTGGCATCTTCAACATTGGTCAAGTTGTGGAGGTCCAGCAGGCAGTTTTTATCCCCCACGATTCACTGGGGAGGGGACTATATCAGTCACAAAACATGAAACTATATATTGTTAACAGACAGGAGCAAAAACAGAACTGCACAGAAGGACAATTTTCTAAAACCAATTTTTTTGAAGGTGTCTGTGCAAAACAAGGGATGGGAGGTGCAGCAGGTTGTAAGGCAAACTTTGAGGTGTGGTAATAGCCCTTTTAAAATGCTTTTTTGGGGGTGGGGGAAGGTGTTTTGGGAGAGCTTCAGGAATGTCTTGGAGAGGCCTGAGAAAACCCCTTTGGTAGGCACAAGTGGTCTAAGTGGACACTTTGGCACCCTTGATTTAGTGTGTGTGTTAAATCAATGCACAATTACATTGTTAACAGGAAATCTTCTCTACAAGTTGCATGATTAAAAAAAGTGAAAACTTCAAAAACATTTTTCTCATTATTTATATTTTGAAATACAGTATATGATTTTCTTAAAAAGAAAAATAATTTACTATTTGGCTGGATAGCTCAGTGGTTTAGGTATCCGGCTGCGGAGACAGAGGCTGGGGATTTGATTCCCCCACTGTGCCCCCCTGACAGGGGCTGGACCTGATGATCCATAGGGTCCTTTCCAGCTCTGCAGTTCTATGAAACATCCATTATGAAGCACGCAATACAAACAAGCTGGATCAGATCTAGAATATATTTTTTTCTCCACAAATTCTTTTGGGTGAAAAAAATCAGTTAATACTTATCGCAACGGTAGATGGAAAATTCAGATAGCAATGTAATTTTAAAGTTAGCATTCTTTTGCATGATCCATGAAGAACAGTTTTGGGCAGGTAGGGCACAGTGCATTGTTCTGAATATGATTTGAAATGCAGATTTCAAGAACTGCCTGTATGCATAAGGGGAAAAAAAAGGAAGGTTGGTTCAGCAGTAGCTTTCATGTCAGATTCCTTCTCTTCAAGCATTAACGTATGACAAGGGAACATTTGAATTTTAGCTGTTTCTTGCATGTTACTGCTTCACTTCCTACATATTTCTTTTCCCTTGCTGATTATGGGTAGTAATTTTACCTAGCATTTTGGTATTTTGGTATACTATGACTACTTTCATATTGACAATAACTCTGTGAAACAGAGTCATATGTTTATTATACCAATAAGAAATCAAGGCTAAAAAGCCACATCAGCCATCTAGGTACTGGCTGCAAACACCATGGTGTGTCCACTTTCCTTTTAATTAGTAAGACTGTCATGTGTGAAGTACCCCTTAGCTTTTGGAACATTTGATTTATTAGAATTATTTATCTTAATATTTGTCATGTGCCTTCAGAATGACATATGACACAAAACAACGAATACACACACACAGTAAAATGATAGGTTAAAAACAAATAAAAATTAACTCTATGGCTTGTATCCAAATTTTGTTCTTCTCAGAGCAGACCCATTGAAATTAATAGGACATAAATTAGTTTGATAAGCCCATTAATCATATTAATTTCAGAGGGTTCTAAGTGTGACAAAGTATGGATCTGATCTTATGTGCGTGGGGAAAATAAGCAAAATGTACCCCACAACCAAGAGAAGTAGCAAAATATCAAAACAGCAGACTAGGAGAAAGTTACTTCAGATCAAAATTCTGACCTAATAGATCAGTTTTTGCTGAACATTACACCCACTGAAGCGGAATCCACCTCAGTCTTCCTTGGGATGGATCTTTGAAGCTGTTAGTTGCTGTTAGTGAAAATACATTGTCTCATGTCACTCCTAACTGAACTCAATGCTTGAGTTTTGACTGGGGTGAGGTGGGCTGTGTTTCATGACTTTTTGTGATCGCTACTACTTGTAGAGGTGATGAAATACTAAAATTAGACATAAGAATTGGTCCTGAGCATTTCTTATCCATGCTAACACAATCTGAATATTGTCTGTGTAGATGGTGGAAAATAGTATCTGCTGATAATCTCAGCAGAAAGGTTAATAGGGCAGAGGGTATTCCTTTGAATAACCTGGTCCCAAACCATATATCGAAGTGAGGACTAGTTCTTTGAATTATGCTAGGGAACGAAACAGGAGCCAATGTGAAATAAATGGCAATGGAGTAACAATAATCCATGCCACACCTTCCCCACAGAATGGCAAAAGCATTCTGTTCCAGTGGCTGTATGTGGACATTATTCACAGGCAGTCCCACACACAGGCAGTAAACCATTTGAAGCACTGTTTACTCCTGGTTCATCTCTGAGCATTGAGAAACATGCATCTATGTCCTTCGTCTTTCACCCGCAGATTATTAGATATGTTTAACTTTTCCCCAAATAAGTTATTTTAGTGAACTGCCGTTAGCACAGGCTTTTCATAGCATAAAGGCAGAACAAGACTGCAATATTAACTGAACATAATCCAAAATTTGAATCTATGTGATTGATAAGCCTTATCTATAAATAAAGCCTTAATGATTCTTTGGCAGTGTTGTAAACATAAGTATCAGATGCAATTGTTGTCATTATTGTTCTGCAAGTCCTTTCTGTGAATGCCAAATGGTTATTGCTGTCCAGTTACTTGGCAAATATATATCCTGTAATGAAACAGATGTCAGCCAGCTCGGCCTGCCTTCAATTACATTTGCCCAATGCACAGGGTGTGTAAAAGAAGAAGGAAACTAATTTATTGAAAGCAAATAACCTGCTGGTTGAAACTGTCTCCCAGTCCTTATTAACCCACTTAAAATGTAAGTTTTTCAGTAATGCCAAAGAAGTCATTTTCATCACCCTGTGAAACAAACCGGGTGTGCAGTGACCATGATTGTTAGTATAGAATGGACAGTTAGATCATGGATGGATAGATGGATAGGTAAGAGAGATCCACATTAGAAAAATTTACTCTTCCTTATCTGATGCATGAAAAGAGTGAAATATAAAAGCTGTTTCAGCAGAATACGAAGAAATTATTTTTGGCAGGTAAATTGGGCTTACTAGAAAAGATGAGGATTAAGTTTGGTTTTCTTTAGTTCTAATGTTTGTTAGAGATCATCTGAAGCTCTTGCTTATTCTTATGCCAGCACATGAGATTTGGGTTGAATTCATGTTATTAATTTACCCATCCTTTTAATGTGTGAACATGTAACATTATTGTACTTTCAGCCATCTTCTGAGGTGAAGTCCTATCTCATGAACAGAAGTGAAATGAGGGACCATGATCTGCTAAGTGAGTTTAGCATGAAGACAGGTAGAATTCTAAATGTTATGGAAGTGGTCTGGGTGTATGTAATGGTGCAGAATGGGTGCTGGAAACATCCTCACTACATTTATGTGTTAAGAGAGATTGGAAACCTGTATTTCCATTTTCAATTATCTGAAATTAATTGTTTTGTCTGAGTCCAACATAATTAATGTTAATCTTAACTATGGTTAGGGAAATGAATCCATGTCAAACTATGGCCAACAATTCCAGCTTTAGATATAGCAACAAAACCAGGTTAACAGAAAACTGAAGCCCGAGAGACTTGTGCACATAACACTAACCCATATTTTAGTGTTGTATTCAAACCAGATAATTGCCTGTCTTTCTTTATTCTTAGATGCAGACCATATATTCCTATTTTAGGCATACCCACCAAAAAGCATTTTATGAATCATAATAACTGCAGCAACACTCCACACATTAACACCTGTATTAGGAATGTTGACATTTGAAGTCTCAGATGATCAGTCTCAAGAACATCAGTCCAAACTTTCATTAAAAATAGTCTTCCCCTAATTTTGTTGGTCGGAATTTATGACAGCATTAGTGTAACAGTGAGCTGAGAACTGCAAAATATGTGAAGTGAGATTTTTCTCCTCATGTCCAAGCTCAATATTCTGAGCTAGTGGGAGGAAATAAAATTTTGGAAAGTAACCCTCACAAGTGAGGATGAATTCCAGGATCTAGTTGCCTTCCTGTATATTCTTACATCTATTCTTGATGTATCATCTGTGCCACTTTTCTACCTGTAAGCTTCCCTCCACGAGGCAAATGGCTTTGGAGGCAACCATGGGAAAAACAGCACAGTGCTAATCCTTATTATCCCAGAGCAACTATAGCCCCGTCTGGTAGCTTTTATCATTTTTTTAAAATATAGATGGAGAATAACTTGCTTTATATTGGGGCAGTTCTTTGGGTCACTTAACTCTGCATTGTCTATTCCATCATGGGCTTCTCAGGGATTTAGGCTGGGATCTTTTTCACTCCTACCTTGCAAATGTCTGGGACTGAACCTAAAATATTTTAGAGTTCAGTGCCATCTTGTCTTTGCCCTTAGAAAATGAGCATATGTTGCAGCTGTGCTACAACTCCGTCAACCCACAAATGGGTGCATATCTACTGATGCACTTTCCTAGCCAGGCCTACTTTGGCCCTTAAGCGAAGCATATAGTCTTTTTAAAAGTCTCTGCAAGTTTCACACAGAACAACCCTGATAATGGTAATGCTTCAGTTTGCAGGTGATCTGGATGATTGTCTGGGTGCTTTACGATGTGCATGTTGGGAGTATGAAGGAGCCCTGTGAATCTGGATGTTAAGCCCTATAGGAAAATAAAGGAAATGTAAGTTTTTCATAATAAACATTCTTAATACTTTTCCATGTGTATTTTGGTCATACAGCACAAGTGTCAAACTATTTTATTTTATACGTGCAGGTAGAGATGGCCCATGGTCTGAGCAGTAGGGTTGCTCATCCCTTTCCTGCTCAGACCACATGTGCAGGTAGAGACGGCCCATGGTCCGAGCAGTAGGGTTGTTGCTCATCCCTTTCCTGCTCAGACCACAGGCTACCTTTGTAGGTACCACCATGCTTAGTTTGTAGCATCAAAGGCACAGTTAATGTGTAACAGAACCTTAGAACTACATGGATTCTGCTATGGGAAAATAGTACTATGTGAATCCCCTTCAGCTTCTGACACAAGTCCATGTGTAGCTCTACTGTTCTTGTACACTTCCGCTCTCCTGAATGCACACTGCCTCCTCCCATATATCATAATTCATTTGCATTTTGGACCTCTATATTTTGTTTACATTGGAGATGTGAGCCGTCTTAAGCATCTTTCTGGGAGGATCCTGGAAGTTGTAATCTTGATTTTTAAAAGCCTTGTATAAGCAATCCAAAGATGTTAGAGCAACACAAACAGCTTTTACTGTACTTTTAAGGTATAACTGGGAATTGGAGAAGAGCCCCAGTCAAGGTAAGCAAGCCTATGAAACGTGCCAAGACCCAGATTGGGTTAGGCATCCAGTGGCCCAGTGGTATCATTTCAGTTGCAAGCTGTTTCCAACCTGATCAAGCCACAAAGAAAATGGGTCTCCTTTAGTGGCACAGGAGCCATTGGATGTGTACCAATCTCAGGCAAGGCACCAACTGGAATAAAAAACGTTCAGTGCTTCTAGCATGTGGAGATTCCTCATGGTCTCCTTACTCAGAGTTAGTACCACAAACACTTCTGGTGTTGCTCTTGCTGCTAAGATGGGTTGAGCTCCACCAACTTAAGATAGTTCTAAGGGATGATGAGAAAAATTCTTAAATGATAATGGTGGTTATGACAGCTATATTGTTCCTCCAGGATGAAGGAACTGGTTGCCAGTTGCTAGAAAAAATTGCAAGATACTAACAGGCTGTTGACCCCATGTCTAACTATCAGGAGCCACCACTGGGACAGATCATAGGGCAACAAGGTAAGCAGGATGAGATGGCATGCTTTCTGATAGGTTTTGGCATTGAATATCACAAAGCAAGCCAACAAGCTAGAGCCAGTGTTGTTTGGAATCATATCAAGGAAGTTGTATTATTGGCAAGATTGACTATTGCAGCAGAAAAAGGGATGCAGAGAAAGTTGAAGCTTTACTTAGAAAGATTAAAGATTTTTCTTCTGATTTTCTTTGAGCATAGAGTGGTGTAAATCAAGAGGAATGTTACAGAAACATTTTGTGCAGTAATGTACAAATCGATACAAATGAGATGTGAAAGAACTCTGCAATGCCTTTCTCAGCTCCAGACAAGTCACATAATGCATTTGAGAAAATGTATTTTCCTATTGGCAAGATGTGGATAGTGAGGTTGAATATGCATTTGAAAAGTTTTAACGCTTACGTATAAAGCCCTAAATGGTTTAGGGCCTCGTTACCTGATGGAACGCCTTCTCCCACCTAGGTCTACCCGTATCACCCGATCTAGCCACGCGGTGAGACTGAGGAGCCTAATGCCGAGGGAAGCCCAGAAGGAAAAAACAATAAACCGGGCCTTCTCGGTGGTGGCTCCTTGTCTTCGGAATAGCCTCCCTCCTGAGATCCGTATGGCCCCTTCCCTGGGCATCTTTAAATGCCAACTGAAAACCTGGCTGTTCAAGCAAGCCTTTCCTCCGTCCACCATATGATTTTCTTCTCTGTGCCTTCTCCCATCTGGATCATTGTGGTTTTTTAGTTATATGTTATGATTTGAAATTGTACTTAGATTTGATATGTTGTCACCCGCCCAGAGTAGTCGGTATGACTAGATGGCCAGGGTATAAATGTAGCAAATAAATGAATGAATGAATGAATGAATGAATGAATAAATAAATAAATAAATAAATAAATAAATAAACACAAACAAACAAACAAACAAACACACCATGAATGTCATAGTGGTGGGTGAGAGCAGGAGTCCACAATTTTGGGGGTCTGGTGGGCACATGTGGAATATTGAGAAAGATGTGGGTAGCATCCCAAAATGGCTGCCATGGGAAGAGTCCATTCATAACATGGCTGCCATAAGAAGTACATAACATGGCTGCCATGTGACATGTCCACTGGAGAATCTAAAAAATAATGCATCCAAGAATCTGAATGCAAAGTAGACCTGTGGTCTGAACCCACTGCTTTCACCTCCAGTTTTCTGTTCAATTGGAGATCCATTACACGTAAAGCAAACTAGTGAAGCTAAAAAATAAAATAAAAATTTAACTCCATACAGGGAGAAATAGAGTATCATCCCTAACAAGTAAAGATACTTCTCTGAATCCACAGGTCTCTGTTTAGCGATCATCCTCTCCTCTCTGGTTTACAGTCTCTCACCCTCTCATCCTATAGGGTAAAATCATTCTCTTTAAGGATGGCTTTGACTAAACTAACTCTCTCTCCCATATATATCAAGCCATAGCCATGTTACTCCACAACTTCCCTGTCATTCCTAGATATTCGGAAGCCCTTACAACCACCACTCCAGCTCTCTATCCAACTTGTCGCAAGTTTGTCTTGCATTTCTGTTTGCCATTTCTCAGGTCACCCAGCAGCTTCCCACCCCTTTCCCCCCACCTCCAGTTGTTCTGCAGCCCTCTCCAACTTTTCTCAGGTCAGTCTGGGTTAGTCTCTAGCTTTCTCTTTCAGCCCTCCTGTGAAGAAGACAGGCCTCTTCAGCTCATGCAGTTTATCCCAGAATTCTCCCTGCTAATCTTTCTCTCCATCACCTCACAGGCCTCCCTCAAGTTTACCAGGCAGGCAGGCAGGAGCAGAAACGTACGTATTTGTTTTTCCTCCCTCCCTCTTTCCCCTCTTCATTTTTGGTATGCATTTTAACTGGCAGTCAAGCCAGTGCTCTGCCAAGCAAAGTGCCTGTCCTGTTGCTGCCCAGCATTTACATTCCCTTAGAAAACTCCTGGGCCCTTGTGGGTGCCAGAGGCATTCTGAGGAAAGGAAATGAAAAGGCTGGTGGCTGCAAGCCAAATGCTTTGTTTGCAGTTGCTGAAGATATTTCTTTTTAATTAAAAAAGTTAGGAGGGGCTAGAGACTTTGGTGGGGAGCTGCCCATGGGCACACTGGTGTCCACACATGCCACATGCATGTTCTAGAGGTACCTGTAGTATTGTTGCTATCTTAACTACAGGAAGCACAAAGGGAAAGGGGAAGAAGGAGGAGAGTGTTCTGCCACAATATGTACCGTGGTTACTATTAATGTTATTTTCACATGGTGTTGTGAGTAATTGTGTTCTTTCTTTATTTTTTATGTTAACAATATATTGCTCCAGCCTGGTGCCCGTCAGATATTTGCAACTTCAATTCCAGCATTCCTAACCATTGGTCTTGCTAACTGATGTAGAAGGCAGTTGAAATCCAAACACCTGGGCAGCACCAGCTTGGGAATGGCTGATCTATAGCTTTTGCATTTAATCTGTCCTCCTTTTATTTTATGCTGCACATTTTTGTGACATTTGTTATTTAAAGCATAGCTTAGCTCCTGTTTTATGAAATCTGTGAGAGCATTAAGAAAAAAATTGTTTAGATCTGTTAATGGGATATATAAATTATTAGTGAGATACGTTTACCATGGCCACATCTAACACAAACTTCATTGATCCCAATTCCATCCTGTCTTTCCTTCCAGCCAGTTTCAAACTCATACAAGGCCTGTGAGCTAAGCACCAATGGCTTGTGCAAAGCTGCTGCCCCTGTTTCATAGCTGCGCTGGGGTTTGAATGAAATTGCCCATTTCTGCACCACCACAGCTGCTGTTATACTATATCATCTTTCCATGGTTATTGTGAATAAGGTATTTCTTGTTGATTTTAAGATGTTTTGTATGGGGCTAATATAAAATGTTTTTTCCTTGAAACAAAGCTCAGGTGTGTCTCCTGGCTAGACATGACATGGGCAATGAGAAGAGGCCTTTTAGAAATCCTCATGTTCTGCATAGATTCTGTTATTAAATAAAGTTAGAAAATGAAATTTGCAGAGCATGTACTTGACGTACCAGCTCTAAATTATCTAACTATTTGCATTTAGGTAGACAACTAGATAGAAAGATTGAAAAAAGATGGATAGATAAGTAAATTAGCTGAAACACTGATGGGAGAGTACAATATGCTCTTTAACATGCCAATTATTGACTCAGTAGATTGTTACGGCTTCCAGGCTATTAAGGTCTGCTGTGTCAATGTGTACTTGGGGACTGTTTAATATGCAGACGGATGACATGACAGGCCACAACTACTATTGTCTATCACATCAGTAGAAATGCATGTGCATATATGTTGCACACTTGTTAATAATGTTGCATGTGTAGAATGGTTTTCAGGAGTAAAAGTTCTCAACATTTGTTGTGAGTTATTTTCAAGCTCCTTTCTTCCCACTGAAGTCATTCTAAACCCCGGAATCAGAAGTTAGTAGGTTAGGAAGTAATGCAAAGGCTTCTATCTCCTATGGAGCTTGTAAAATTACCTAAAATATTTCACCTATGTATGAGCAATAGAAAGAGCTTGTTTTCCTCTTTCACTCTCCCTTTCTGTTGGAGAACTATATGGCTTTTTTATTGGGGGAGTGTAAGAGGACAGCATCAATTCTTTATTTACTTCATAATCTTCTTCAGTAGCAATTAAATAAGCTTATGCTACCTAAGAGATCTGTTAATACAAGATAAATAGCATGACATTTTTTGAAGAAGAAGAAAATAAATAGAGTAAGTCTTTGATTATTTACTATCTTGCCTCCAAAATGCTAAAAAAGAGGAAAAAAGTAAAGTATAAGATAACAACATGAAAGACTTATTTGATCTTTATAAAGGGGGAGGGAGTCATGACTTCTGATTTGCTTTTCAACAACTTTTTATGAAAATAGGCAGAACGAAGTGTTGTGTTTAATAAGAGATGCTCTTCCAATTTGCATGTGAAATGTAAAAATATAATGAAAACAAAGTAAAAAAAAAACCCTTGACATTAGTTGTAGGAGAATTCTGGGATGTGTATGTGTCTGTCTAAAATGTGATGTTACAGATTTCTTAGTCTACTAGGTCTTTCATCATATGTTTATATCTACATCTGTTTACAGAGGGAGACACAGAGACACACACAACCCTTTTCACAATTAGGTGAATGCAAGTAAAGGACTTCAGAAGATAAGGGAGACAGGAGGAGGTTTCCAGAGAAATGACTCTGTATCTAGCGAGGCTTAAACATTTTGCTGGCTGGAGCAAAGGACAAGATGGTACCACCTTCATTTTGTGTATGAAAGCCAAATAAACTGACATGTTAATCTAATTTTAAGACTGGAGAGGGAACAATGTCCTTTATTAACAACTAAGGGCAGCAAGATTAGTTTAGGGGTGCAGGACAGGCCACATGGCACACACAACTTTGTTTTCAAGAGAGGGGAGTAGTGGCAAGAAGACTCAGGAGGAATTGCTGGAGGGATAGCTGGAAGATTGCCACTGCTGCCCCTAGCATTCGCCTGCTGAAGTGGTTATCCCGCCCTGCCTAAAAGGATGGCTGCCCCTCTGTTTTTGTGAAGCTCCACGACTTAGCCATTTCCCCGCATCCTCATGTTTCTTTCTTACTGAAGAGTCAGGCAGGCAGAGTAATAGAGAAAATATTTCCACTGGGCCATATTGACTCCATTGTTTCGGGACCTGTTGTCAGAAGGGTGCACATGTTCTGTCTTCCAGGTCCTCTTTATATATTTATATCCAGTGTCACCTGATTTCAGCTTTCATTGCTGATTTTTGTTGCCAGCATAGCTTATTATGCAAACGTCCCTTGAATCAAGAACTTGATTGAACAAAAACTGCATCAAGTTGCTGTGCTGAACTTTGTCGAAGGCTTTCTCATAGCCACTAAAGCAAGTATATACATGCACATTAATATCATGGCCTCTCTCCATGTATGCAGACAGATTAGGGCTTTCCTGTATCCCTATGGTTCCCTGAATTCAAACTGCGTGTTTCATGTCCTGTCTTAGTTTTGCTTATACATTTTGACAAGCATTCATTAAATAACAACAACAACATTTCAGCAAATGACTCATTAAGCTTATTGTTCTATTGCTACATGCTTTGGCCAGTTCAGCCTGTAATAAAGGTCTGTCTTTTACCACTGAGTGGCCACAAGGTATCTGTTGTAATGAGTTGAAAATACCTTACAGTCTTCCTCTTTCTGTGTGAACCTGCTCAGGTGTTACTTTTAATAACAATGGCTCTGCAAATCACACTTCCCCTGCACCATGGGAGATGCGTATTCAGCAGTAACACAAAATAGGCCTTTTTCACTGTAGTACATCAGTTTTAGAATATGCCCCCACCCTGGCTTGTATGTTTCAATTGCTGATTGCAAATGTAACTTTTAAAGACAGACCATTGGGTATATTTTTTAAATGTACTGCTGATTTATCATGGGCTGTTAACTGGTGACTCTTCTTTTGTCTATCAGGGAGTCCAGGGTATCCACAAAACTTTTAACCTTGTCTTGGTCTCAAGTAACATATCCTTACACTTGGTTATCTTTTCTCATTCCTTCATTGCTGCCCTTCCTAGTGTCAGTTTTCTTTTGATTTATTGTCTGCAATCTCCATTTGATGATTGAACCAAGGTATACAAACTCTTTCACTATTCCAGTTTCTTCACTGGAAACATTAAAGTTGTGCAGTTCTTCTCTAGCCATGATTTTTGTCTTTTTAATGTTCAGCTGCAGTCCTGCTTTGACACTCTTCTTTCACTAAAAGCCATTTCAAATCATTGCTGCTTTTGGCTAGTAAGATGGCATACTCTGTATATCTTTAATTATTGCTCCCCCTCCCCAGTTTTTACTCTTCCTCCATCTGAATCTAGTTGGGCTTTCTATGTGATATATTCTGCCTACAGATTGAACAAATAAGGGAAAAAATGCACCATTCTCTGACACCTTTTCTTATAGGAAACCATTCTATCACTCCATATTCTATCATAATGGTAGTTTCTTGTCCACAGTATAGGTAGTGGACCCTCTACTTACAGAATTAATCCGTATTGGAATGGTGTCTGCAGGTCGAAAAGTCTGTAAGTCGAGTCTCCATTAACCTACAATGCATTGAAAACCGATTAATCCTGTAACTGGCCGTTTTTGTTCCATTTTTGTTCCATTTTGGTTTTTTTCTGGTCTGTAAGTCGATTCTCTGGCTGCAAGTCGAACCTAAATTTTGCGGCCAGAGAAGTCTGTAACTCGAAAAGTCTGTAAGTCGAGCCGTCTGTAAGTCGAGGGTCCACTGCATATATATATCAGGACAATGTTTTTTCAGAACAATATATAATTTCTCATGAGTCACACAGTGAAATGCTTTGCTGTGGTCTAACAAGCATAGCCTGATCTTATTCTGAAATTCTTTGGCATACTGTGCTAGCCAGCAAATTTTTGCAATATGATCTCAAGTGCCTCTCCTTTCTTAGAATCCAGCTTGAACATCAGGCATTTCATGCTTCATATAAGGTAAAAGCCTTTGTTGTATCACCTTGCTTGTATGGGAAATTAAAACAATGATCCTATAATTACTGTGCCCCTTGGTATTTCTTTATTGGAGATTGGAATGGCCTATGGGCCATTGTTTTGTTTTTCATATTTTTTTGCATATTCTTGTTAGGATAATGACAGATTCTGTCTGTGGCTTAAAATAGATCTTTTGGTATTCCATCTCCTTCAGTGATTATTTCTTCCTAGTGCTTTCAAAGTAGCTTTCGCTTCACTTTCTAGAACTTTAAGTTTTTCATCTTTTTCAAAGGAAGAGTCTGTCATCTTTTTATCTCTTCTGTGGGGACAAGAAGCAATACAATAGAGGCATAATGAGAGTGAGGTTGTGAGAAAGACCTGGGGCAAAGGAAGAATGGAAGAGCAGAGAAAGAGAAACTGCACCTGGGTGAGAGATACAAAGGCATCTCAGACTGCAATAGACACTTCCAGAGGTAGTATTTCTTGGTTTCTCAGTGTTCTGAATTGGAGCATTTGGTGATCTGTAATGCACAGGTTCTGGATGTTACTGGTGCTGGTCCAGTATCATTAGCAGGAACAGTAAGGGGAAAAGATGTAAATAGCCCTGCAATCCAAAAGCAGGAAGCATTTTCTTTCATATATGCCTGTGTACTTTCCACATCAGTGTTTCTATTGTTTTTAGACAGTGATATCTGAGAGTGACTAAAGAGTTATTTGGGGGTAGAACGAGCTGCTTAGGAAAGATAGTTGCCCAAGAAAGCATCCTTGATGTTTTCTTGATCAGGTCTGTAGGGCAATGGGTTGGAAGGAACATATGATCCAATCAGAGTCATACCAAGTTGAAGATGCTGAGAGAAGGGGAGATTGCACACACTAGCCAGGAACATTCTGTCCCCAGCAGTTTCATGTGTTTTCATAGTGAATTCTTTTAGTCTCCCAAGGGGGTAGCTGTTTTAAATTGTTGCACAAAAACAGTGAAAGAGCCATATTGTATTTAAATACATTTATTATAGTGTGATACTTCATAGACTACAACCTACCTCCTCAGATGCAAGATGCATCCAGGGGTTAAGAGATATTTGAGAGTGAGGTTCTTGGCACTGAGGTTGGAAGGATATTAAATCCAAAAAGGTGATTAAATTGGGAATTAGCTTACTAACACTGATTAGGTCAACTCATGTTCAGAACTTGGGAATTGTCTAAATTGCATTGACAGGGTATGGCATGCCAAAATTCCAGGTTCAGAGGGAGAGGTCAGATGGGTAGCGTGAACTACTGCTGACTGCCACAAGGAAGGGTCATTTCCAGACACTTTAAAATAAGC